GGCATTCGGTTGTTTTTTTTTTCACTGTTTTGTGAGTTTGGAGCCAGCTAGGAGCACACTTTCAAATGCTCGTGTCCTGCACCGTGCCAGAAAGTTATCTTTTCTGCTCCTTCCCCCCAGCCTGCTTTGGACGTAAATCCAAGACGCCGAAATAACGAGCTCCTTATGAGAGCCGCAGCGATGAGCTAGGACGGGAGCCTGTGAGAGCTGCTCTCTCATCGATTAACCGGGTATTACACTTCCAGCGCTCCGCAGAGAACAAGCCCCGATTTACCCTCAGAAACACTGCAATTTAGTTTAAAACAAAGCTCTCGACCAGGGTGATCTTGTTTCTCTGCAGCATGGAGATTACGGGCACGCGAGCGATTCCAGCCGCATTCCCCACCAAGGCCAACACCGCAGGCAGAGCTTTCCAGTGAAGGCAGTGGGAATTCTTTCCCCCGAGCTGAATAGGAATAAGAGACTAAGTTACTGGGGCTGGGCGCTCAATGAGCCACGCCGTGGTCCTGGGCACAGCACGGCACGCGGTGCCAACGCTGACGTCCCGGGGAAACCGGCCACCACCAGGAAATCCCGCATCCCAGCCTATCCCACGACTGTACCCAAAGCAAATGCATCGTTTGTCCAAGGAAATGATCACAAAATAATTTTCACCTGGGGAAAAAAAAAAAAAAAGCCACCTATTCACTCCTTCCCACGAGCCCCCAAGCCCCTTTCCACAAACCCTGAGCTTTCACCCCCCAGGTTTCCTCCCATCCCCTTGCTCCCTGCCCCTTTGATGGGGCTCGATTTGAACCCCGATTTCAGGTCATTTCTGTGGCGGTCAGGGAGCTCTAATGCCGTCTCCGCTGTTCAGAAATCCACGAGTCGATCCTTTCTCTCCACAGGCAGAGCCTCCGCGGCGCTGGGAGGATGCCCGCGCGCAGGCAGCTACGGGCACCCAACGCACTCGCGGCCAAAGACGCGCTCGGAGCAGCGGCCAAAGCGGATACCTGGTCTGGCAGGAGGAGCCCGAGGCAGAAGCGGGAGCGCGAGGCAGAGCTGAGCCCTCCCGAGCCCTCTTCCCACCGGCCCCGCTCCGGTTCCAGCCTCTTCCACACGCTTCAGGCGCATCTCCAGGAGGCTTCAAATTTGGGTCTCGGCTCCTCCGCGCGGCGACAGAGCCGATGGGGAGACGC